TATATAAAAAAAAAATATACCGCGACGAATTGATAACCTCCTCCTTTTTTGAAGTCGGTCAAAAATGGGGAAACAAGGGGGTTAAAATATTGAAAAAAAATCCCTACTCAGTAACGAAAAATGATATTAACTTAAATTTTTTAGCAAAAAACATGCTCTATAAAAAGAAAAAGTCCACTGATTATAAATGGGGGGTTTAAGGGGGTTCAAAAATTAAAACAATCATAAATCACAGATGAAAAGCGATATTAAGGGAATGACGCCCATTGTTTGTCAAATAAAAAAAAATTACACCTCAAAAACGAAAAATAATTTCACCTAAAAATTTTTAGCAAAAATCAAGTTCTATAAGGGGACAAAAACAATTCATTTAAAAAAATTTGTGAACAAAATGGGAGGGATTAAGGGAGACTGAAATAAAACAAATAGAAATTAAACACCAAAAACGATATGTACATGAAATTTTTAGTAAAAATCAAACTCTATTGATTCTGAAAAAAATCAAAATTGGAAGATAAAGGGGGTTGAAATATTGAAAAAAATTCTAACTTAGAAATAAAAAACCGATAAATTGAAATCTACAGGAAAAGGGGATGAAGCTTATTTATTTATTTATTTATCAACGAGCAATTGCCCAATTAAAATACAAGTTTAATAAAAGGGAAAATTTCAAACCTAACCTACACTTAGAGAATGTTAAAACAGAGAAACACACATTACCATAAAAATAACATAAACAAGAAAAAATTAAATATTAAAAAAAAACAAGATAACAATTGTAAATAAGTTAAATTAAATTATTTTAAATTATCTTGTCATCAAAATATCACATGCATGATTTAAGCTGAGATTTAAAGACTTTTTAACCGACTTCAAAAAAGGAGGAGGTTATCAATTCGTCGCGATTTTTTTAATGTATGTTCAGCGATAATTCTTCAACACGGTGTCCGATTTCAATGATTCTTTTTTTGTTAGAAAGAGGGTACTTCAGGGGTGGTCCCATATATATTTGGTCAAAATCTAATAATTGGGTCCATGAGGAAATCCTCAAATTCTTCATTTTTTATGTATGTTTAGCGATAATGCTTTACCACCTTGTCCAATTTATATGATTCTTTTTTTGTTAGTAAGGGGGTACCTCAGGGGTGGTCCCATATAAATTTGGTTAAGATGTGGTAATGGCATCTGTACTTTTTTAAAGTCGGTTTTTTTTAAATTTTTAATTTCGAATACTTGTTTATTATCAAAGCAGTCCAATCTCTCAGATTATTGATTAGTAAAACTACTCGATCTTGATAGAAAAGAATTATGTCCATAGTTAGTCCGATGTTGTCTAATATTAAAGGGCTGAATGAGCCTTGTTTGTATAGAAGGAACATGAATATTTATTTTCCCAATAGCTCTGGACTAAAGCTAAAACTTTAAAGAGTATAATATAGAATGCCAAGCATCTTTATTCTAGTTTATTAAACTCTTCACACAGTAGTCTGTGGAGAGTATATGATGCAATCGCTTCGTGTCCGTCTCTGTCTGTCTGATCGATGTCACATTTTTTGTCCGCACGATAAGCTAAAAACGGAAGACGATATCAATTTGAAAATTTCATAAAAATCAAGCTCTAAAGGGGACGAAGTTTATTGATTTTGAAAAAATCTGAATAAAAACGGAGTGTTAAGGGGGGGAATATTTAAAAAATCGTATTGCAAAAACGAAAAATAATATCAACTAACAAAAATCAAGCTCTCTAAGTGACGAATCCTACTGTTATTGAAAAAAAATCTTAATAAAATGGGGGTTAAAGGTAGTATTAAATAAAAAAAAATAGAAATCAAAAATCAAAAGCGATATCAACATGAAATTTTTAATAAAAATCAAGCTCTATAAGGGAAGGAATCCTATTGATTCTTTTTTTTTGTGTATCATCGGCTTAAACTGCTAAGGTTATTTCGCCTCGTGTTCTGTGTAGGCTTTGTTACTGTTTCCCAGCGTCACTTTAGGAACAGCACTGTTAATTAGAACCCAACAGTGAATGGTCGAGTGGGGAATCCTACCAAGGCATCAGAATTAATTTTAAATAATTAAATTAAATGAAAAAATTCCGGCCAACTGTGGGATTCGAACCTGGGACCATTGGATCCACAGGCAGAGACTCTACCACTGAGCCACTCGCACCCCCCCTATTGATTCTTTAAGATAAATCTGAATAAAAATGGGGGATAAAGGAGGTTGAAATATTAAAAAAAGTCTATAAACTCAAAAAGTAAAAATTATATAAACTTGAAATTTTTTAGCAAAAATCAAGCTCTATAAGGAGACAAAGCCTATTGACTCAGACACAAGAAACAGTATCAAATTGATATCTTCCGGAAAAAAACAAGGGATGAAGTCTATTGAATCTAAAAAAGTCTGTGAAGAATATATAGAATGCCCAAGCATTATATATCTTCATTCTAGTTTTACATATGAGTAAACTATAGACATCTGGCGGCATTTAAGAGAACTTCGGACAGACTTCTACCAATAGTAAAATTATAGCTTAGTAATAATGATGTAGATGTCACGATAGGTACAATATCTAAATAAAAGAGTTTTATTGATTAAAAATGTATGAATATGAAAATAATTATTGTGAGAACAATGATAATAGGGAAACGGTACTGGAGTAACTTAAATCTTGAATCTAAATGAAAATTCATAGTTTTAATTTTCGGTATATTAAGCGATTAAGATTAGGGCCACCTGTGAAGAATAGAAAACATAACACATTTGATATAATTTTGTATTGTCGCGAGCCGTATGTTTCTTGGTAAAATAAATAAATCAAGGCAACATTAATAAGTATTTATTTACCGATTGCAGGACTTTACAAAATTAAATGTAGGACAGTAGGACCTTTTAAAATAATAGTTAATATCTTTAAGTCATACTTAAATATATTTTTATATTTAATTCTGAAAAAAAAATTTGAAATATTATAAAGTAAGATTAAATCAAAATACCTAATTGTTTAAAAAGTTATTGATTGAGCAACTAGGATTTGTGCATGTGCAATAAAAACCATCAATAAATTAGAATAAAGATATATAATGCTTGGGACGATTACATATCCATTTATCGTCTGTACGTCCAGGACCAGTTCTGGACGTTTTTAAGTATGTCAAGTTTAGTAAATCCTCGGGACGTCGAGAAATAGATATCCGTAGAATGTCAATTATACGTGCTTTATTATATTTCCATGGATTCACAATCGCATTGTATTAATATTTGGTTATATTAGGTATATAAACAACATATATAATGAGATAATATAAATAATTATCAAAGATGGCATTGTCCCAATATCCAATTGAATGAAGGCGAAATAGACAAAAAACGAAGAAGGTCGTTGCAAGAAAGGAACATTGTTAACAAGTGACATTTTATTATTTTTTGATATTATTTATTTAGATTAAAGCACTGAAATATTCTCAGGGCTCAGATTTTATTAAAAAAAAAAAGAAAAAAACATGGCGTTCAATGTTCATGATTTGATGGTATATACATAATACACGAGTACAAGTTCTACCATTCCGCCATTTGACTGTGTGAGTTTGTGGTTGATTAATATTAATTTTTTGCAGTTCGTACTATTTTTATCTCTGAGAAAGGTTGAAGTTTTCCAGTGAATACTACAAAGCTAAAAGGTTAGTGAATTCATAATGTCTAGCCGGGCAAACTTAAACAAACAGATTTTCATATAGATCTGCCTTTCATTTTGAACAAGCGATGAAATTATTTTCAGGTTCAACTTAGAAGGCAAATATGGCCAAATAAAGAAAAAAAAAACTGAACTGCTGTCAATCCAGGCATGATTGAAAAGGGCAAAGTAGAGGAGAGACGAAAATGTTTTAATAATTTTATTATTTATAGGTTATTTGCTTCCAAATAATTTTTTTTTAATTATTCATTATTTTCACGAATTTCCTAGGTATTCCCCATTTGAGCTTTTGAAAATGTTCATTGAATGTTCTTAAATGTACGTTCTTAAGACATCCTGATTATTAACAATGGACGTTCCAAAGACGTCCATAAGACGTCCATGTCCGTAAAATGGACGTTATAAGGATGTCCTGAATGTCCAAGCAGGACGTTTTTATAACGTCCATAAGACGTATTTGTGCTATCTGGAATTAAAGGGAAGTTAACATTAATGTTATGGGAAACTGCTGGCCATGTGCAGTCCTTTCACTACTTAAGTCTGGTAAAGTTACGAGCCTTATGAAAGCCCATTGAAGGGAAGTTATCATTAATATTATGGAAAAATGCTTGCCATTTTTAGGCTTTTCGCTACTTATTGTTGGCAAAGTGACGACGGCCTTCTGCCGCACGTGATGGCAAAAAGTTGCACTTACCAATGCCAGACTCATCAGAAGCGAAATAAATTTTCGTAGGAAGGGACTTGAATCATGCTAGAGTGGAGTATACTTAAAATCTTATTGGGCAGATCGGGTCTACCAATGGCCAGACCCTCCATGAAAGGCCACTATTTGAAGTAAGGTACATACGTTTAAGATCGTTAACTTGCCATAACAAAATGTTAGTTTTGTTACTATAGGAATGTATAAATAAGATAATGCCGGTACACGTCAGTAGGTACATAACCTCAATACATGTTCCAAGTAATCCAAGAATTCGTTATAGTCGTGGAACTCAAAATATATTTTTTGGAATACCATAACTGGACAATTTCGACGCCTAACAACAAATAAAAGACATTGACAACGAGGTAGCCATGTTTGAATTAAGGATAAAGGTAGATGTGAAGAATGAATAATATTTTATATTTCACAAGATGTGTAAAAAATAATAGTAAACGGAAAGAAAGTACATTTTGAATTTATTGATTTGCAGAAAGCATTTGACCTCATAGTACCTGTAGGGAGAAAAATGAAGATGTCTGATCTCAAAAAAAAATCGTTATGAATACGGAAAATAAGTATAATGGCTCAAGTATGTCTTACCGATGTTACTGCGTTAGGATCAGCGTTGTGTTCCAACAAAATATTAACAATAGTAGCGTGGCCCTGTTGCGCTGCCTGATGAAGGGGCGTGTAGTTTAGAGACGTCGTCGATTCTATATTAGCACCGTTTTGAAGGAGAAACCTCACCATATTGACTTGACCGTAATGACTGGCTATGTGTAGGGGAGTGTACCCGCCCTTCGTAGCACAGTTCACGTTCGCACCGTTTTTCACTAGAACTTCCGCTACTGGAACTCTGTCTTCCTGGGCACAAAGGTGAAGGGATGTTAAACCATTCTAAAAAACAAGAAATATATTGTTATAATTTATTTTATAAATGGGTTTATTTTATTTTTTCTTATAATATAATAATTATACTTTATTGCCCCAATTTGACAACGAATATTTTTATCATATTACAATAAATTTAATTATTGTTATTAGCCTTATGATGATACATTTTATTGTGGGTTCAAATGTATTCAACTTGAATAAGGAAAGTTACTTATATTTAGATATCTTTCCAATAATTTACCAACATTCTACAATAAAACTTTACTTAATATGAAACTAACAAAGAATCATATTTTTAATAACATTAAAATGTTTGTACAAATACTTGAAATATCTTAACTACCCAGATCCTTAAACATTCTTTAAATAGACATAATTGTATAATTTTAAATAATACAAAATTTGAGTTTTTAGTTTCACTAAAATAGTAGTAAGAGTCTGAAGTCTGACAAGCGTAACAAACCATTTGTTTTAACCTGTTGGTCATGATTTGTTAATAATATAGATTAGATAGTTTTTAAGCAAAATTTGTATTAATTCATAGAAATTATACTGGTTCGGTGGTAAGTAGACATTTTGATTTGTTTGAAATGCCTTATAAGTATTTGACTTTCAAATAATAACCTTTTTTGTTTTTCTAGAAATCTCACCGATTAATGACCTGTCAAAAATGTCAACCAAATCCAAAACAACTGCTTACTGAACATGTAACATTACCAGTCTTTTTTGTAACGTTTCTTATAGAGACTTTTCTTGATATATTTTTGAAACGATACTAAAATATCACATAGATGTTTAAAGTTTAACATTATATTCATTAACATTCCTCGCATATATCTACAAATGAAGTTTTATGTACGCTGCAATACTTGAATTAGCAGTATCATAAACATCTTTTTTACTTCTTTTTAGTTACTTCCTGTGACAAACATTTATACGATGTTAATTTTTATAAATCACAACAATATCGCATACAGGTTAGCACAGTAATGTGTACAAGTTACACATCTTTAAAATGGCTATCTTTAGTCTTTACATCGCCTGGCAGACCTAACAGTTCGTCTTGCGTTCATATATGGAGATACTAATGATGGCTTGCTACTGACGTAACCGGTAGTACTGTATATTATGGAGCAGTCTGTTGCCAAGTATTAAATATTTCATCAAAGTTCTTACTTTTACCTTTGATATTAATTTAGACCATTGTATTATATCATACTTTTTCTGTAAAATTTTGTGAAATTAGAAGTTAACTTGTCTTCTAAGCTTTTGACTTCAAGTTTATTTATTTTTATTCTGTTTTATATAGATGAAATATAAAATATAGTCCATATAAAATTTAAAAGATTAAGATAAAAATAAAAAGGTATCAACTGTATCGTATTTAGAACGTCACATTTGGTTCAAAAATATGATTTTATTTTATGGGCTTTTATAATAACATCTATAAGAAGTAAAGAGACTTTCTTGGATATAACAGAAATGTCACATCTGGTTTGTTAAAGATATAATTTTTGGGAACTTCCAATAACGTTGAATAACGTAACAAGGTAGCGCCGTAATATCACCGCAACGTCTACATTGTTTTATTACAAAAGTAAACGTCCCTACTCTGGGCTTAGACAGTTACGAATCCGTCCTACAGATGAAAACAAGAGTAAAAATGAGAGTTACAATGTAACAATGTGATGTAAAGTTCTCATTAATTTAACGTTTTTATGCATAGTGGGTGACTGGTGGTTCAATGAGAGATGTTTTCTACTTCTGTTTCTTCTACAATGCATAAATACATCCGACACTTAATATTCAGGTAAGGTAGATTATCAGGGTTATTACTAGAATGTCACGAAGTTTTGGCCGAAGTATCCATCAACAATGTGGTGAGCTTAGAATGGATCAAAGGTCACGCCCCACCGAAAGGTAACCGTCTTGCTGATTCACTAGCCAAAAAGGCAGACAACAAAATACTTTTTGGACCCGGCCTTTCCATTGGACTGACACCATCGATAGTGGCAGACATAATTAAAGAACATTCCCTTGTGAAATTCAAGAAAAGAGTGGATGAAACAAGAGCCTGCAGAGTTGCCAGGGAGCTTTATAATTATCCTGACAACACTACAGCAAACAAACACTTGACTATGACTAGACATAATCTTGACTTCATCACAGGTATTGTGACTGGGCAATGTCAAGTACGGAAGCATCTCTATTTCATATGTTCTCATTTATTAGAAGATTTGGGTTCGGCAAAAATTAGCTTATACCGGTCGCTATAAGAGAAGCACCTCTTGGCGATGTTATCATAAGTTGGGAAGTGGATATCAACTTAGAAAGGTACACAATGGGCTTAGTGAGACCTAAGTGCCGTGCGGTAACCCACTCTCCACATGTTACAGATAAAGATCCTTGATGAATTTAATAATGTATCAAAAGAGCGCTTTCGCAATTTCTTTGGCTTCTGGGTATTGTACTACGAAAGTTCCATTTACGTTTCCATTAAAGGTTCCAGCAATGGCATAGGCAAAGGCCACAGTGTCCCCTAAACAGTCCTATTAAGGTATTAAGTTCGTTCCTGGTGAGATTTAGTAATCAGTTTTGTCTATTCTTGGATGGACTCTCCATGAGTATCCTGGACTGCCCGAGTCCAGGAACCCTTTAAAATGTTGACATAGAATATATTTGACCATTTTTGGTTCCTTACGACATAATAAAGGGTGTCCGAAAAAAGTAGGCCAATCCGTTAACAATAGCTTCCTTAGGTCAGTAAGAAACCTTTATTATGATTTTTTTTTTTCGATTAGAGCCATTATGTTTAATTAATAGAGAATAATTTTCCTGTTCTTTACGAAATGGTGCTCCTACGAAGGTCTTTGTCCCAGTACCGTGTAGTATATACCTGTTCCCGCTAGTTATTTTGACCCTGATTTGCAATGATAGATAGAAATTGTCTGCAGTGGATGTCAATGAGACTCGCTCTGTTTCATTATACCCATAATACCTTGAAAATCACCAAATTTTTATGTAATTAAAAAGAATACTAACCTTAGCTTCGTGATTAGCATCGCCTTTGTTCTCCAAAAGTAACGCCGACATATCCACGTGACCTTCCTGAGAACTGAGATGTAAAGGTGTGAAGCCTGCTTTGCTTTCAGCATTTGGTTTGGCTCCGTACTCTAATAGCGTGTTCGCGATATCCATTTGATTCTTTCTAGCCGCAATGTGAAGAGGGGTATGACCGTTTTTGGCTGTAGCGTGAGGGGAAGCACCCTGAAATAAAGTTGCGAAAAAGGTGATTACTGTTCAATATAGGTAATAAGTACAACCCTGCTCTTTGAAAGAGACTGTATAATAATACAAAAATGATTGCTTTATTTACCTTATCAAGAAGTAGTAAAGCCACATTCTGGTGATCATAATGCGACGCTACATGTAATGGTGTCACTCCATTTTTACCCTGAGCATCTACTGGTGCTTCTTTTTGTAACAGAAGCTTCGTCACTTTGAGGTGTCCATATTTGGCTGCTAGATGAAGAGGAGTAAAACCCTTCTTTGTTGTTGCATCTAGCGAGGCTCCATTTTCTAATAGGACACCAGCAACCTGAACGAAACATTAATGTTCAAGTGATGTTATAATTACGACAATATTAAATCATAAGAATTTTCTTGAAACAATATGAATATTTTTATTATTTTTGACTCACCTCATCTTGCCCTTCCTTAGCTGCTATGTGTAGAGATGTGTACATATCTTTAGTGGCATTGTCAACTTTGGCTCCGTGTTGTAATAGAAGCATTACGATGTCGACATTGCCTAATCGAGAAGCTATATGAAGAGGTGTTTGCTGTTCTCTAGCTCTAGCGTCGACTTGAGCACCGTTTCGCAACAGTATCCTGATGATGTCGGTCTAAAAACAAAAACATTGTTATAGTTGAATAATAATCACAATATACTGGGATTCATTACAATAAATAAATTTGACAACACAAAATACGACGGTATCAAGGATAGAAAGGGGTATGGTTAAGATAGAGACAAATATAGCAAGAATGGGTAAAAGAGGAATTCGCTAAAGATCAACTGAATCTGGGTTCATATGTCAAGAACCACTTTCTAGCATTATAAGGAGTACTTTTAATGAAATGATCTCCCACTGGTAAATCTTTCACCTGCTTCCCCTGTCTGGAGATATTTATGTAGCTATTACTTCTTTATCATATATGTTATAGATTTTACAAATATCCTGCCCAAATTGGTTTCCTCGTAATTTAATTTTTCAACAAAAGCTAATAACAGTTAGAAGTATTGATACCATTTAGATGCTATTGTTATTCAGATATATTAGCATCTGTTATCTTTACACAATATTCCTTATCCTATTAGATCAGTCTTCTAGTCATCTTTATCTCATCTTATGAATTAGTTCAGAAGATCGGTCAGTGCCTAAATCTCCTTCTTGCAAGTTGGTCAGCTTCTTCACTACTAACACTACAGGATTCATACGAGAGACAAGGAATAAAGTAGTACTGCTAGAACGATTAGCTAAAATCAGTACTTACTTGGTTTGCTCTTGCTGCTAGATGTAACGGCGTTTCTCCCCTTACTGTTGGAACATCAGGGTTAGCATCGTGTTGAAGTAGGTATATAACAATGTTCATGCAGCCCATAAAGCTCGCTACATGTAGAGGTGTCAACCCGCTTTCTGTAGTAGCACCAATACCTTCAAATTAAATAAAATTGTTACACAGTGACCAATCAAAATGATAAGAACAATATACTTACTTGCTCCATGTTTTAATAACAACTCCACAACTTTTATCCGATTTTTCTTACAGGCTATATGTAACGGCGTAAAGCCATTGAGCGCTCGTGCATTTGCATCTGCTTGTCTATCTAGAAGCAGCTTCGCGACTCTCACGTGGCCGCAGTGCGCTGCCACGTGTAAGGCAGTGAGATAGTCAACTGTTACTTCATCTACTGGAGCTCGATGATAGAGAAGGATCCGTGCAGCATCCACGTGGTCACCTTGAGCTGCCATGTGGAGTGGTGCGAGACCGTTCTGCAAAAGAAACCGCATTAGTTGACGTGACATTTTATTATGGTTTGGTTTCATTATATATCTAGAAAAGTTTTTTGAGCAACTAATGAGAAACCTGAAAACTCTAACCAAAATTGTTCACATAGAGCCAACAATAACAATTACGTATTTGATAAAAAAAAATAACTTTTCAGCTAAGATCAGAGAACTTCTTAGAGAAAGAAGAGCACAAAGTAAAATCTAGAGGTCCATCTGATAAGGCTATCTTAAACAATAAAAGTCAAACAGTAAGAAGGTAAATTCAGAGACTCAAGGAATAATCAACAAGCTCATACCTATACAACTTGTCATCACGTTTTAGTAAAAAGTTACCAGGAAGATTAAAACATCAATTGGCTTCATCCCTCCGATCAAAAGAGATAATGGTTTATGGGACAGGGGCAATAAACAGAAATAAGACTTGTTTCTGCTGAGCATTTATCACACAATCAGATGCTGGAAGAAAATAGTTTGCCAATTAAAAATCCCTGGTACAACGAAAGAACCACCTGGAGATATTAAGAGCGATATCCATGGTTAGAAACAGGCTTAAAACGACTTCAAGGTTCTCTTTCTCAGTTTTAAATATTTTTTTATAAAATTTGGTATACCTACTAAGCAAATGATAGAGAACTCCGCTGTAGAGCCCGAATTCAGAAAAACTAATTTTTTAATTATTTCTATACAAATTATGAAAATTATTGCAAAAAGGAGTCTTTACCGGGAATTGTTATATAAAAATCAGCTAATTCTTTCCAATACACTTTTTTGTCCAAAGCGTATATTTTTTGAAAACCTTGAATTAGGAAATCTGAGAAAATCTGTCAAGATTCCAATCCATATTAATTGATTTGGCAACAAGGCGGCGGACGTTGGCGGTGCATGCAGTACCGGAAAATTGGGATAAAAATAAAATAATAAAAAACTTTATTCTTTTTAGTTCAAGTGTAGGTGTTTTTGTTTCGTATTTAGTCAATGTGTTTATATGAACTTTTATGTGTAAGCTGAGTTATAATAATTTGTGATAAAAATGGGAAAACTTTCGGAAATGCCGAAAATTATATTTCCGTTTCGATGGAAATCTATAAAATATCGTGCTAGATTACTTAGAAAAAGACAAACATTAGCACCCCTTCTAAGCATTAAAGTTAAAATATATGGGAAATTAATATACTAAGTATTGAATAAAAAAAAAACCTTTAGCTTTAAAGCAATATTTACAAATTTAAAGCGGATATCCAATAAATGTGGTTTATTTGTGGATTCTGGTTATGGTTTTTAGGTTCCGACGGTTTATTAGGAACAGACAGTATTATCGAAATTAAATATCCTGCCACTGCTTCAAAACTGACTCCGAAAAAAGCAATGGTTGACAACATAATAAAATTTGCAATTATTAATGATAATGCGAAAATGCAATAATTGTTCAGTGGCAACTTAACGTAACTAAACGAAATATTTTTTTTTTTTTTTATTTATTTTAATACCTTTAAGTATGCGTTAGTAGAAAAAATAAAAAAGATGATAGATTTTGGTGTATATGGAAAACAAACTAAAGCAATTTTATTTAGATTGTATACTACCCGAGATCTTAGATCCACGTTTCACTAGAGGTTTAGATATTAGAAATTTGAGTAGAAATCCGAGTAGAAATCCGACCAATAGTCAATAAAAATGATTATTTTTATTCCTTCTTTTACTAATAATAAATTATTTTACTCAATGTTATTTTTAAATATTTTTAGTACTAGAAAACAATTTTTTCTACACCCAAATGGATAGCGTATCTACGTACAGACTACAAAACGAAAAAATATGCTATTGCGTAAAATGAGTTATACTTGTGTAGAATCGATAAATAATAGCATTTCTAGTTTTATTTGATCTATATTTAGAAATAAATAATTATAAATTTTAATTAAACTATATGAAATCAATTTAATTTATATTCACTCATGTTACACAAACTACTATTTTCTACATCCACATGGATATGCTTTTTTCTACACCCACATGAATATTAGCTAATCTACGCACATACTACAAAACAAAAAAGTATTCCATTGCGTTCAACTGAACGAATATATTTCATATTCATTCTACCTAGTAAGAACACTGCAAAACAGTTAAATCCACCAATCAGATTATATATTGGTCACCCGCCTACTATTATTTTTTAAATTTTATGTAGTTAAACTAACTGTCAGTATATTTTTGAATTATTGAGATTAAATATACGTAAAAATGAATATTTCTTATGTATAATCGATAAGTAATAGAATTTCTATTTTTATTTCGTCCAAATTTATAAACAAATCTTAAATTTTAATCAAACCATATAAAACTAATTTAATTACAAGTATTAGAACTATAATGGCAAGTGTGGCGACGGCACGGAGTTTGTCTCCAAGCGAGAGACCCGAGTTCCAATCATGGCTGGGGACTAATTAAATTAAATCTTTTTGTATGTTTATTTTATTTTATAAATTATTAAAAGTCATACATTATTTTAAAATTATTTATTTTGTCTTAATAAATTACTTTTTTAAATTTGTAGAATTTCGTTAGGGTGTCGTAGAAAAAATATACTGTACAACTCGAGTGTATTGTCTGTATCGCACTCAGACGATTAAGCACTCCGTCTACGGCGTCGTTCTGAAACTTCGTGCGATATGGCCATCATATCCAATTTTGTTGCACAAACTACTATTCACGCACAGACTACAAAACGAAAAAATATACTATTGCGTTCAACTCAACGAATATATTTCATATCCATTCTGGGTAGTGAGAACACTGCAAAAAAATAAAATCCACCAATCACAGTTTATATATTGGACACCCAACAACTATTATTTTTAAAATTTTAAATAAGTGACAATTCTGTCAAACTAATTGTCAGTATATTTTTTAGGAATTGAGATTAAATATACATTAAAATGAGTTATTTTTGCGTAGGATTCATAAATAATTTTAATTTAGACCACAATTTAAAAAATCCTAAATTTGAATTAAACTACCTATATTAAACTAATTTAATTACTACTTTTAGAACTAAAATTTTAAATGTGGAGGTGAAAATGATGATACGGCATCTGTCTTTCACGCGAGAGGCCCGAGTTCAAATCTGGGCTGGGGACTAATTAAATGAAATATTTTTTTCATGTTTATTTTATTTCACAAATTAGTAAAGTCATAAATTATTTTAAAATAATTATTTTGTCTTTTCCTAAAATAATACTTTAAATTTGTAGATTTTCGTTAGTGGGTCGTAGAAAAAAACATACTGTACAACTCCAGTGGATTGTCCACTGTTGTTGCACAAACTAGTATCAAATGGGTTATTATTTAAAAAACGTATTTTTATACAGGGTATTTGTAAATAAGTACGAACAATTTTTGCAAATTGTTATCAAAGTTATTTTGTTAAAAAAAGTTCCTATAAAAGTAGGTCGAAATATGCTTCGTTTCCGAGATACAGAATGTTTAAATTTTAATTTATTAAATTTTATTAATTATTTTTAATAGTTTTTTAAGATATTTACTCTAAATTTGCAAAAAAACTTTGAAGGGGCAAATGTGTATTTTTTGGGGTGTTCCAAATATTTCTACTTGTACCAGTGGCGTTTGTGCGAGAATGCCACTTTTTTAATAAAAAAGTACTGCGCCACTGACTTTTTCGATCTGTTTTTTTTTATAAAATAACTTCGGCAAACATTCCCTAAAATCATTCACACTTACCAACAAACACCCTGTATATAAGAAAATGTAGAAATAGGTACATATGTATATTTAAAAATATATTTCGTAAATAAATAAATTAGTTATAAAAAAAATTTTTCGAAAATGTTACACCAGGTTATACCTTTAAAAAATATTTTAAACGAGAAAACAAAACAGAAATACTCTTTGTTAGACCGGACCTGCGATTTATCGGCATTTTTAATATTTTAAATCATCTATAGTTTATAAGTAATAAATTGAAGGGAGCGTAAGCCTGGGAATAGAGCAACGTTGCCAAAGTGGGTTCAGATGCACTGAAAGTTGTCAGTGTGTTCTAAATCTGAATTTGCTGTTAGGTGTTGCATGGATATCGCTCTTAAGACTAAATTTAATCCAAAGAAAGCACCAGATTTAAACTCAATTACATGTGAAATCTTGAAGCAGTTGACTAGAAAATGTATTGACCTACATATTTATTGCAGCTCACAGACTAAGACATGTTCCTGCTTTCTGGAAAGTTCCAGAAGTTTATAATAATGCAGCGGGAACCAGGAATACCGCCAAACGGCGTGAAATCTTATAAGATTTTTTCTCTCTTACCAATTGTGACAAATAAAAATATTAAGCAAAGCAGGGAAAAAGATAAAGATCAATGTTAAAGAATCATTTTATGTTCGGTCAGGATTTGATGTAAGACGTGGCAATCCGGGGATTGCGATCCTGCAGAGAGACGCTAGACTAAGGTTAGGTTGTAACGAAAGAGTCTCGGGAGCTAGATATAAGATATGTTTGTACACCTAGTTAAAATTGAAAGTTAAGTGTATTAATAAACTCCTAATAGACTCTTTATTACCAAAAAAACCCAACATAACATTTTGAAGGCTTTATTAAGATAAGCGTGAAACAAAACAAAAGTAGTGGGTACTTAAGATAACTATCAGCAAGTAAGAAGTAAGAGAATTCATTAAGAAAGATAGGTTTGATGGAATTCTTTTGGATCTTTGAACAATAGGAGAGGATTAATGGAATGCTTGTTAGTATCCCAAATAAATACTAGTTGAGATATATCTAGAAGTACAAACTATTAGAGATAGTGTTCGTCATATTATTATCAAGTGAATATTAACATGAATTTAGGAAAGGCAGTTCAACAACAAATCTGAATATTATCTACTAAAATAGCAGTATATACGTACTTTTGTTTTAGAACTAATAGGAGCACCTCTTTCCAATAACATATCTACAACTTGCTCGTGACCACTCCTGGCTGCACAATGTAACGGCGTCAACCCATCTCTGGTTTTCGCTTCGATGGTAGCTCCGTGTTCTAGAAGCAACGCCACCATGTTACTCTTTCCCCATTTGGCGGCCACGTGGAGCGGTGTTATATTGTGTTTGGCTGCATAATTAACGTCCGCTCCCTTTTGTATCAATAAATTTGCTATTTGTTGGTTACCATAATGAGAAGCTATGTGAAGTGGGGTGAAGCCTGATTTTGAGGTTACGTCTGGATTGTGTTCGTTCTGAAATTAAAAAATATTGAATGTAAGTTGGATTCTTGTGGTGCAGCGGAAACTCTTACCTCTAGAAGTAATTTAGCGGCTTTTACGTCATCTTTTTTAGCTGCTATGTGTAAAGCTGGAAGTCTTATCTTGCCTCTCGTATCGTTTTCTAATAAAACTGTCACTACTTTATCGTGTCCTTGTTGCATAGCCACCGCCAATGGGGTGAATCCGTCCTGAAACACAATAAAATTAAATTGGATAATAAACTTGCTAATGGCACCTACTAACTAAAAAAACCTATCTAGATATACAATAAGTAGACAACTCTTTACTTGTTGCTTAATAACTTTTAGTGTCAGTAAAAAATGGCGGGCCAAGAAGCATTTGTAGGCGCCGTGCCGCTAACCATGAACCCTAGTAGGTAGATGTACACTATGGATCCATCTACATGACTACTAGAGTTCGAAGTATGAGTGAATCATATCAAGTTAGAAGCTTGGTATATATAGTACCAAGCCAAAGACAAGAATCTCACTGAGCTTAGGTAAACATGCGACAGTATTCCAGGCAGAAATAGCAGCAATACATCACTGCGCAAAAGAGGTATTAAGACAGAAGGTAAATGAAAAAACCATTGTCATATACTCAGACAGTCAAGCGACGTTAAAGGTACTAAGTTACATACAGGTACACTCAAAGCTTGTGTGGGACTGTTTGGAAGCCCTTACAGAGCTGGGTAGTTAAAACCAACTAACCTTAGTCTGAGTACCAGGCCACGGAGGACATAAGGGCAATGAAGAGGCTGATTTACTAGCCCGAGAAGGAGCCTCAAATGCGCTTATTGGCCCAGAACCCTTCTGTGGTGTAACAAAAACAACTATCAGAACATGCACAAAGCAGTGGATGTATAAAAAATCTCAGAAGTGGTGGAAAAACTCTCCAGGACAGAGACAGGCCAAAGAGTTCTTAAAAGGACCATCGCCTAAACTCACCGAGCATCTACTAAGCCTTAATAGGAAAAATACTAGAGTACTAGTAGGTCTATTAACAGGGCATTGTAGGCTTAACAAACATATGTTTAATATCGGTCTGACACAAGAGACCTTGTGCCGATTATGTCAGGAAGAGGAGAAAACGGCAGTACACGTATTGTGCTACTGCGAAGGTCTAGCAAGACTGAGATTCCTTACACTTGGAGAAGAAATACCAAGGGCAACTAGCTATACCGGAGAACTACTTCCCAGTCTATGGAGTCTACTACAAAAGACCGAATTAGACAAGGTACTCTAAATAACGATTCAAGGATATCCACATCCAAATGCGACATCATTGTCTCACTGGGAAAACATACCACTGTATTGCGGGCTGAAAAAAATCCAATCAAATTGTGTGTACGAGAGAATTTAAGAAGAAAGTACAAAAAACAAACCATCCTAATTCGCTCAGCCTTAAAGGCTCTTGATTCAAACAGAATCAAGTCAAAGCTTGTCTGGAACCGCCTTGGAATACTAAATGATCTGGCAACCCACAACAAGGTAAAACTAGAGTAGGTACCAGGGCACAAAGGTAAAACTAGCGTGGGTACCAGGGCACAAAGATATCCAAGGAAATGAAAAGGCTGATGAACTCGTCAAAGATGGATCAGATCTACTATTCACAGGACCCGAACCTGTATTTGGGATAAGTATAACCTCTGCTCGATTGGCAGTGAACAGGTGGATAACCACAAAACACCAAATTCACTGGTAACAGATAAGAGGGCACAAAATCAGTAAGCTCATGCCAAGGGGACCAAACCCACGCATGGCTACTGAGGCACTACAACTCGCAAGGCCTCAGATATCCACCATTGTGGGATTACTAACAGGGCACTGCTTGCTGAAACACCTTCATTTAATGGGATTACACAATGATCCCACTACATGTAGACTTTGCATGGAAGAGGAAGAAACCTCATACCATGTGATCTTTGAATGTGAAGCTCTTACTGGGCGACGTTTCATCCTTGTCGGCCTAGAACCGGAAAGAACGCCCCAGGAATACTTGGTAGGGAACCAATTAAAACTAACCAAAGACACAGGACTATTCCAAAGATAGTAGCTGAATACGGGGAAAGCAGGGGAATATAATAGACCGAAGAGGCCGCAGTGTTCTGGGCCAAACCTAACCCTACCTGCTTACAACCGATAAAGATAAAGATCTGAAAAGTCGAGGTGGGGAGGCCACATGGCCCCACAGTCCTATAATTAAATCTAATCTAGAAGCTTGCTGCAAATGTAGAAGGCAGTTGGAGATAAAGAACTAACATGAAAGTTTATACCTATATTAGGAACCGTGTTAAAAAACTTGATTGTGACAGAAGCTAGATCACCTATAGAAGACGATGGAAATGTAAAATATTTAGAAGACTTCAAAGATAAAATGGGACATATGACTGTAAAGTCTTAAAAGTTTAATTAGGTATTTAATTTCTCTCTGTATAAGCGATGGAGAAAACGAAAGGAAAATGGAAAGCAAATAATTTTCAATTATTAAACCTAAATTTAGTTATTGTAATCCTATTTTAAAATTTCATTACAAAGGAAATTCAGTTTTCAACCAATTCAAAACTTATATTGGAAAGTTCGTTCCCATAAATACGTATTAGTTGAAATGAAATTTCCGAAGTTGGGTTTCGGAACATTAGAAAGTTTCCTAAATGCTTTTTACAACTTATATATTTTTCAGTAAGTTGCTGGAAGTATTTTTGGAGTTGGCGCGATATTCAGAGCTCAGTTAAAGTGGCAGATGGAGGTTGAAATATGTATTTCTGCTCATAAATCTTTCAAGGATTACCTTGCAAGGTTGTAGTGAGATAAATTATTGTTGGTAGCAGAACGTGTACGAAATTTACTTATTTCTGTAGTTTCGTTTATACACCAAATAAAAGTGTTTGTGTTTTATTGATAAGAGAAAACTATATGGGGAAGAAAGTTTCAAAATAAGACCAATCAGAGTGTTTTCTAGATACTGTCACTACTTTCTTGGTAGGTACTATCTTTAGTTTTTGTTTCAATTTAAAAATATGAAAGTTAAAATAACCTACAATTACTGGACAAATTAAAATGGACAAAATAAGGAATAAAAGTGATTTGTTAGATTTTTGCAAAATGTATTATGGATGGTAATTTTGTGGGATAGAGATAATTTGTTAAATGGGAGAAGTCATCTGAGCAACTTAGACACTAATATTATGAGTTTAAAACCAGATTATGCATTTCATGAGGCTTGATCTTAAATAATGACCTTTGTGCAGGTCTTCGAGTTCAATGACCTACACCTCTACTACTATAAATGATCTGAAATCCTAATACAAAATATGTATCTTACCTCTGTCGATAAACTCTGATTCGCTCCATTGGCCAGGAGATATTTGACGACGTTATCGTGATTTTCTTGGGCGGCCATGTACAATGGCGTGAAGCCATTTTGACTTTGTACGTTGACAGAGGCACCGTGTTGGACTAAAAGTTTTACGACTTCCTCCTGACCGGCCAAGGAGGCTATGTGTAAGGCGGTGTTGCCTTTCTTCGTAGCGGCATCGACGACGGCGCCGCGCTTGAGAAGTTCTTCTACTATGTCTACGTGACCGTCTTTGGAAGCAAGATGGAGAGCGTTTAAGCCGTTCTGGAAACAAAACAGTTCATTTTAAATAATAGTAATAATAATAATAAGTATAATAATAATAGCTATTTGTGTAACCAGTACCTTATGTTAAGTAAAGAGTAAATCTTTACGGGATGAGTAAAGCGAGGTCCCGCAAAATTAACGAGTTTCCCAAAACGGCATTTCGTAACGTGTTACATACATATTTTTTCTAATTTTGACTAGATTATTTATAAAATTGTGTTTATTAAAACATCTATTAAACCAATATTACTTTTAAATTGTTGATTTTGTGAACTGACAGAATAATATTAAAGATATGAGGTCTTGTTCAATAGTCACCAATAATGACTGCTCGAACATGGGAACATTAATATTGTCCAGCTCCTCAACAACCCTTTTGTGTTAGTTCTAAAAGCAGAGTCTAGTGTAGTTCAGTTTTATCTGATAACGCTTGTGTAACTAAATTAGACTTTAAGGAACGTACATGGTGAGTAGAACCTTAGTTTTTCACCTCTAGAGAAGTTAGGTTAGTATAAGATTGCTTATTGATTTTGATCAGATTGTAATAACTATCATTTGGGGGCATTTATTTAAAAAAGGTAGCAGTCTTGATGAAACCGGAAAAGAAAAAGAAAACATCCTTTAAATTTCCCAATGTTATCTACGAAGTGGATTAAATAAAATCCGACCTTTGAGTCCTGCCACCAATAGACCCATGAGATAAATAGACAGTTCTTTAGTAAAAGATGGTAGTCTTACGCCACACCGCTATTTCAAGTGTAGCTCCAACTACATCCAAGATGTGTTACAAGGCTCTTAAATAAATATCTATGAACTGGTCGTGTTGAAATTTGTCAAGGGCTGCTATCACTTTATGAAGACGAAGGAGACACGTTTTTACATCGTATAGTAGTACAAATGAGTACAAAAGAACAAGCAAGAAGTGAAGAGAAAAAAAAAAGTCCGATAAAAGCGAAAACTGGTTTGTCTGCGGGTAAAGTTTTGGCGACAGCATTTTGGGATTATAAAGACGTATTGTTAATAAATTTTCCTTATGATAGACGAATACATAATGCAGTTTCCTATTGCAATATTTTGGAGAGTGTTCGGGCAGCTTATCGGTCTAAAATACATTGATATCACATGCGATACGTATTGTTGCTGCATGACAACGTCCAACCTCATATGGCTGCTTTAATAAAAATAAAACTAGCTTAATTGCATTGGACTGTCATTAAACACCCTCCATATAGTCCGGACCTTTCACACTGTGATTAACAAATGTTTGGTCCACTTAAAAATGATCTGGGAAGAAAACGTTTTGACGACGATGAACAAGTGAAGCAGTTTGTATGCAACTGGTTAAATACACACCCTCATTCTTTTTATGGAAAGGCATAAAAAACTTGGCAAAAATGTATTTACAGCGAAGAAATGTATATAAAAAATAAGGAATTATTTAATTAATATAATGCTAATTTAATATATTTATAGATGTGCTACCTCCTTTAATTTTAATGTAATTGAAGACACAAGTGGTTAAAGGTCTCACGACACATTTTTCAAAAAAGATTTTCATTGCCTAATATACTTAAAATAATACTATATTTTTTTGTTTGTGATAGTTCTGATTTCCAGTTTTGATAAGTAACGGCTATTCATCAGATAGGGAGATATCATGAGCCGTATATCATAATGCAAATGTAAAACTTAAAACTTGTTTTTCTCGAAATATACTTTGTGACAAGGCGCCTTTATCCACTCGTGTCTTCAATTGTTTCGTGTGTTTTCCACAGTTGCCGATTCAAGAAATGAGGCATTCATTCTTTTCATTTGATCCATACTGTAAAGTAAATCAAAGATATTTCTTGTAATAAAGCAGTCAATTACACTAAAACTCAAAATTTTCTTGCACTCTGTTCAAATAAAAATTATACTTACAGCGTTACTGGTATTGATGTCGATATTGGATTTCAGATGTTCTAAAACTTTATCAAGTTGGCCATTACGGGCAGCACGCAAGAAAGATGTATTTCCGTCAGACTGTAACAAAAATAAAACGCACGTCAGAATTTCAAGTGGTTGGTCAGTGTTACGAATATTGATTTTTTTTTATTAAGCCTATGCAGACATTTTAATAGCATAATAAATGGATTTTTCTTATCGCGAAACGCAAATTTTTAAGTCTATGTATCGGGAATCAAGGTCGGTACAATATAATATATACAGGGTGTATCAACGATACGTAGGTAGAATATAGCTGCTTTCTTTTTTGAGATAGAAAAAAAAATTTTAAATAAAAGTTATAGAAAGCAATAAAAGCTATGTTTCAATATACAGAATGTCCGACAAGTGTGCGACTTATCAATATTATGTTTTTTTATATAAATATCCTATATATTTTAAATATCTTTAGAAAAGTGTTTCTCAAAACGACAACGTAGCATAGAAATAATACAACGTAGGCGGAGTGCTCGAAGTGCACGACGAAGAATCCACTCGAGTTTTACAGTATGTTTTTTCTACGACCTACTAATGGAAATATCTACAAATTTTAAAAATTAATTTAGATTATTACGATAAAATTACTGATTAAAAAATAGAAAATAAAATAATCTTAAAAAATAATGTATTAGTCTTCAAGGGCTGGATTTGAATCCCAGTCCTTTTTTCATAGGAACTCAGTACTCTACATTTGCGCAAACTAGACAAATAATATATTCCATTTAATACTGATAATTAGATACGTTTTAGATATAGTTTTAATTATCAACTCCTCCCAAGAATTATTCATTTTTAATTATATTTACTTTGAATAACTAAAAATAATATACGAATAATTAGTTTAATGTTATTGCCAATAATTTTAAATTTTAAAAATAATAGAAGCTTGGTCACTATATGTATATGAACGGTGATTAGTACATTTTATATCCGTGCATTTCATGTCCTCCCTGTAATGGATATGAAATTATATTCGTTCAGTTGAACGTAATGGCCTACTTATTCGTCGGTACGTGAAATAGATAATATCCATTTGTGTGTTAAAAAACTTAAATTTTCAGCCAAATTATAGATATTAATCTAACTGTGGTCGTCTTATTATTGAAAATTGATGAACTTATTATTTTCCAAAACAATCATTTAAAATAACCCCATTTTATTTTATATTAAAGGTGCCATTTTACAATATTTTATTTTCCATTTCATAAAAATACGAAAATTAAATAGTAAAACGACCTGACCTAGGTTCAACCTTTACATATCCCATCTTTTACCATTGGTGGGTTAACGTATCATTATCTTTATCTTTATCGGTTGTAAGCAGGTAGGGTTAGGTTTGGCCCAGAACACTGTGACCTCTTGAGTCTATTGTATTCCTCTGCTTTCCCCTTATTCAGGTACTATCTTTGGAATAGTCCAGTGTCTTTGGTTAGTTTTAATAGATTCCCTACCAAGTGTTCCTGGGGCGTTCTTTCCGGTTCTAGGCCGAAAAGGATGAAACGTCGCCTAGTAAGAGCTTCACATTCGAAGATCACATTGTATGAGGTTTCTTCCTCTTCCATGCAGAGTCTACACGTAGTGGGATCATTGTGTAATCCTATCACATGAAGGTATTAACGTATCAGTTCACTATTAATTTTTTCTCTACATTACTTATTAATATTTTGAAGTATTTATAAATTTAGCTGATTTCTAAAGTTACATATAATTTACAAAAAAATAAAACATTTATCTACCAAATAAAATTTGTCTACAAGCAATATTTAAACATTAGTCAAATTGGTGTTATCCATACGTCTGTCTTTCATCTATGTTTTGAACTATTTATTCTTTGTATATTCTCATACTAGTGTTAGTAAGGGCTGATTTCATTAGTCAAAAGTCATGATGAAACAAAGTTGTTTTTACTTTAATGGAATATTCTGTATATTATTCCATATTTTAATTCATCTTAACATTTTTAACAAAAGTCTGTAGCAAGTCAATATATAAAATAATATACAGATTATTCGATTAAAGAAAATGCAACTTTGTTCGTAATTTGTCTCTATAGTTATAGCTTTTAAAAACCCTAAAACTTAGATATGAAACATTTTTCGTTAGCTGTCTTACTTTAGAAGATTGTCGACCGTTTTTATATATAACAGCGACCCGGTGTAAAGGTCCCAGTAACAAACGAATCTTATCTCCTTATAGAGAACTGCATTCCCTATTCATAACTCAGCCTGCTTATAAAGACCTCCTGCTTACTACGACATACATCAAATCTAGCAGTACCTATACAGGGCTGAACACCCAATTTTCGGCTCAACTAAGAATTGTACTCAAAGTTTACTCCAATTAATTTTATGCACTATTTAATGACGCTTGGGGTTGATCGTCATTTGTCATATTTATCAAGATATGACGTCATGGGATAAAATTTTAAATTAATCACCCTGTATTTATATTTTTTTCAGATAGATCTTTTCTTTCTGAATCCATCAATATAAGGCTCAGGTGATATCTGACTTACCTTATCACAAGCAAAGAATAAAACCGAATAATTCATCGTAATGTACCAATTTGTTTTTTTGCCATGGTTTCACTTTTCGACATTATAAAGGTCATATTGACATCTCGATATTAATCACTTAGTCACAGGATAAAGAACCTTTCTTCTGTGACTCAGTTGTATTTATACGATACTTGTACATCTCTGACAGAAATACCTACCAATGTTTCTGTGTTACTGTTAGTTGGTTTTTATATTATTGTCATCTTTTATTAATCTGTAGATTTTAATTTATTCTGGTTAATGGAGACAATTAAAGAAGTTAAAGAGTTCAACTGGAAGTCTATTCAATTAATAACTCAGATTCTACTGAGAATTTTTATTTCAAGCATGGTTGAGTGAACACTATTGATGATTATTACGTTTGGAGACAGAAAGAGATCTGTGCAAGGAGCTTGGGATTTGTTCAATGACAGGATTTCCCCGATTTCTAAATCTAGAGTATACAGAAATTTGAGAAGGCTCAATGAAGCAGGAAGTGTGAAAAACAATCCTAGATCTAGACCGAAGAGGACAGACACTGCTGCACTTAATGTGGTGCTAAGTGTACAGGCCTAGTGTAGCCTAAGTATCTTGAGGTAACCCACCTTCCAACGTTACAGATAAGTGTACAAGAAGAACCAAACACTTCAGTTCAGAAAAGTCAATAAATTTCATCCCTGTAAAGTCAATTACACCAAGAATTGAATGAAGATGACCCAGATAGCCCAAGTAACATTTTTATGAGAAACAAGTTTTATTTATGTTTTATTAGGATTTTGTAAAAGCATACATGTTAATAATTATTTTATTACAGTTATTTTTTTGCTAATAGGACTGCAGGATAAATTGATCTTATTACTTGGTTTTATAGATTCCTTTAAATCTGTTTAAGAAAACTAGTTTATCCTAACGTAAATTGTACTTTATCGCTGTCCTGTAAGGGTAAATTAATAAGTAATTTTGGAACCATTTAGTTTAAAGATGCTCCTAAGGTTTATTTGGTGTTAAAGAGGCATATTTTTTAGCAGTAGATTTTATAACTTAGTTTTAAAAAGTGTTTTAGGATTATACTTTAAATTAAATTGACCAGAATCTTTAAGGTACATTTTCTACAATTTTACAACATAACTATTATAATTTATTTATTCTAGTAAACGATAGGGCTCTTTTAAAACTACATAGTTTTAATGAGTACTAAATTTTGTTTTAAAGCATAACCTAGCTTTTCAACCCAATCACATTATGTTGACGTTGAAAGGTAAATTGCTCAAAATAAAGAAGTGATAATTTCCATAGAGAATGAAAAAAAGTATGTTTCTTTTTCTCCTCAATGTTTAATGAATTCATTGTGTGCCATTGGTTAACAAATACAAAAGAAACATTCCGAGGCTCCCCATATTCTGGAAATAATTATCGAAAGAGAAAAATGGTTAATATTTTATTATTAATTTTTATGTTTTGAATGACTTGTTCGTAGAGTAAATAAAAAGCTCAAGAGTGAGGTTAGATTATGCCCGTCTGATTGAACTTATGAATGTTTTATTGAGGTTTTCGTTTTTACTATTGTTTTATGAAACGGTCTAAAAAGTGTAGCAAGAGCTTTTTAAAACTGGAAAGTCCTAAATAGTATTTTTTTTGTTCATTAGTTTTATAAGCTAATGTCCGTTTTTAGGTACAGACAGAACACAATGAGGAAATTCTCCATTTTAAATATAGCAGTGGCTGTTTAACCACATATCATGTAAAATAGTACCTGTCTGGATATTCAAATAACTTGCTTTTGAATATTAAAATAAATTATGGTCAAAGTTCAAATAATTCTATAATATTTCGATTTTAGTAATGACGTAATTTGTGTACCAAAGACAGTAATAGTGTGTCAATGACAACAGTGTGCCAATGACAGTAGAATTATTATTTATGATTGCGTTTCGTGCGTTTAACCACATAATGTCAAATTTGTCAAATATATCTAAAACTAATACCTTTTAGGGTATATAAATATAATTTATATTGGATCATGCTATAATATGTATGTTATACAACTCTTGCTTCGCTTAATTTTATTTATGATTAAACACTAAGTTTGTTTCTGATAGTCCAGTAGGTAGTATATGCGTAATTGAAAATGGTTTTCTGACGAAGACAAGTATCCCTGTAAAGACAAATCTGCAATAGGATTTAGATTGGCGGTTAAATAGTCACTTCCATGAAATAATTTGAAAAATACAAAATTTGATATTTTATGTCAAAAACATATCGAAGACAAATGTAATCATTTTATAGTGCTATATATACAATATTTACAATGTTATTTTCTATTAAATAACTTTCGGTAAATAGATTAGAATCCGTATATTAATCCTTTTTTTACATATATTTCATGTATTGTAAGGCCCATCATTTATTACAACCTACCTTGTCCACTTTTAACAGTACTTTGGTGTTTGTTTGAAAATTGAAGAAATAATAAGTGTAACCAAACAAATTAAACATACACTAT